AAAAAAAAAAAAAAAACACGTGCAGAAGGAACCTCAGTAGGAGGGCCTCTTAACTGGAAGAATTATTTAATTACGTGAATTATGACAGAAGGGGATACACCCCCGTGGGGTGCTGCACGGTTGAATATGAGGGGAAGGTACATACGCCTCAGTGCACAGAGCAGGCATATGTACACACAAACAAGCATGCACACTTCCGTGACTGGAGCTGAGGGGCATGAACACAAGAGGGGAGGGTCGACCAGGGCGTCTACCAAAAAAAGAAATAAAATAAAAAAAAATAATGAAATAGAATAAAATAAAACAACCAAATAGCAGAATTGCAGAATGATAGAACTCACGGAGTCATTTTTGCCCTCTCGATTTGTCGTTTCCTCTGTGCACGGTTCTCGACAGGTGTAGGCCTGCTTCGCACATGGGCAAACTTCCGCGCGTGTCTGCTCTGTCCCTACGTGTATGTACACACAGTGTGGTGACTCAATCCGCCGCCTCCAGTTAAAGGTGCAATTTTGTCATTAGGCAGAAACCATACGCGTAATGGTGTTGATCAAGGAACTCTTGCCTTATGTTCAGGGTTAGAAAAAAGGTGTGGTCTTTAACATGCGCACTTCCTACCAGGCCGTGCGTGGCTAGGCTGCTACATGTGAGTTGACGCGCCGCCGGAAATAAGACGTATTTCCAGGACAAATGGGGGAATCAAAATTGGGGTTCACAAGCCATCACAAACACCATCACAAGATGGAAATAAATGCATAAATAAAAGGTTCAAACAAAAGCTGAAATAAATACATGCGTGCGTACTACGTGAGCGCACTGACGCGTGTGCACAGATGTACTAAAGGTAGATACAAAAACACACCCGTGGGAACTTCTATCCAAGCAAGAGAGTCCACACACCTACAGAGATCACTAAAAAACCAAATGGACGAAAAACTGCACGTCGGTCAGGTGTCTACATGGAGGCTCAAGTGAATTATGCACGGCTGTCGGGGGAGGTGGGAAGCATTTATTTTTTTTTTTCTTTAAAAGAGCAGCGGGGAAAATTCATAAGTGATGACGCGCCACGCAAGAAAAGGCAGGGGCAAAGCAAATGACACAAAGCAAGGGAGGAATGAAATGTCGAATCAGAGTGGCAAGGAGGAAAGGTGACACAGCGTCAAAAAAGGTAGAGGTGGAGAGAGGGGAGCCCAGAGAGCCACGCGAAGAGACCCTGAAGACGCAGAGTTACAATGCAGATAAAGTTCTCTCATGTAGTTAACTGCACTCTTATTAGGGCACAGCAACTAGCACAGGCACATGAAGCGTACATATATGAAGAATGTACCTATGTGTACTTCTATACATATGAACACCCCCTATGCATGCGCTCCTTGGCGCAAAACGGTCATTATGCATTTGGGAACGCAACGTGTTGGATCAAACAGGGACTTGTTGGTGGAGTGGCGATTTTTTTTTTTTTTGTAAAATTCGTAATTATGTTTCATGTGTTACACGTATATATATGTGGCTATATGTACAAGTGCGAAAAGAAAGAGAAAAAAAAATAAAATAATTACGCGATGGGAAAGGGTTAATATAGCTTTGCGAGAAGTCCCGTTTGGAACTGAGAAAAGTGACAGGTCAAGTTCAAAGGAGAGGGGGGTTCAAACGCATGGGGTGAAAAGGCGAAGCAGTCGCAAAATGGTAAAGGTAGAGCAATAAGAGAAGTGAGATGATGGCAGTGAAAAGAGTGAAAAAATGGCGAAGCGAAACAATAACAAAGTGATAGTAGAGCAATGACAACATGACAAAGCGGTGGTTTTGCGGTTTGATGCCGGTTGGCTACCGATTCGTCGCGCTGGCAAAATTGGGGGGCGCTATAAAGAGAAAAAAAAAGTGAATCACTATACCGATTGGAAAAAGTGACCTTACCGCACTAGCAATTGCCGCAGAAACGATTTGCGCAGTGTCGATTGACGCCGCGACCCCCGTGCGGAAGCAGCAAAAAAAAAAATGTCGACGGGAGCTAAATCGCAAAACCCACTTGGTAGAGTGCATGCACGCACACCGTAGGATTAGGAGAGGGGGGGAGCACAGCCGTACAAGCCATGGATTTATGGATTGATTTATAGACCCGTGCAGGGTATATACAAGGTAGGCGTTACGCTTATACCAGATGGGGGTAAAATACATGTTTAAATAATTTACCGACTCGCGTGAAAACAGCGCTTTGGCCAGCTTCTCCGCACCATTGAAGGGTGTCAAAAACAAGGGAGAAAAAAAAGAGAAGTAAAAAAGAAAAGTCCCTTCACTGCGCTTCCTTCGCCGTGCTTTCTTGTACGCAGCACAGAAATCCCTCCTCCGACCTGACCCTAACGGTATATAATTACACATAAATGAATTTACATACCTCTTGGTAACGTTCTCCAGGCAATTCAGCTAGAGTGAAAACGACTTGTGTACAACTCTTAAGGTGGTTTCCTCGCTCACTTGCAAAAGGAAAAAAAAAAGATAAAAATAAAATAAGAATAAGATGAAAAAGAGATATATTTATGTATACTATGCGACGGATGGGTGACGTTCCT